AAAACGCAACTCAAGGTGGAAAGTTGAGAGGAGTACTCACCCCGGCTCATGACAGTGTGAATATTGTTTCAATTCAAAAATAATGGCGGATATTAACAAAACTCACTGCCTCACAATAAATGTACACATGTATTTAGCTATTTTTAAGCCTTCTAACATTTGTTCAGCTTCTGTATTGCTCATGTTTAAACCGTTGACTGTTAAAAACCACTGACAACCCCACCCGCTAGCCTGACCTGCCAGACTCGTCCTCGGTTTAATTCTGCACAGAGAAAGAGTCTGGTAACTCACAGCCAGAGAGGCACTTGGGGGGTGGACTAGGCAGCTCAAAAATAACCTAACAGAAAAAAGACGGAAATGCTGATTGTACCGTGCGACGCTGTCGTTTTTTAGCTGTAGTAAAAAAGACGTCTAGCAGCGGCGCAAACATCTTTTATTTGTTTGAAAGAAATGCTTGAAGCAGTTCTACTTGTTGTGGTTTTAAAGACATTCAAGTCTTTTAGGATAGAGGAAAGAGCCGCAGCAAACTTCGCCGCTGTCTTTGTTGCATATGAAAAACTGAGCATCGCTGTGTGTGATGTCCGCAACACTGTAGTTTTTTTAGCTGTAGTCAAAATTGGCGTCTAGCAACAGCGCAAACATTTTCTTTAGCGGAAAGGCTTTTTGCGCTTCTACTTGTTGTAGTTTTAAAGATGGGTCCAAGTCATTTGGAACAAAGGAAAGAGCCGCAGCAAACTCCGCTTCAGTCGCCATGTTTATGACAAACTTGGCATTATGGTGTGTGACGTACGCTACTCAGCGCTGATTGGCTCGGTTAGAATTCTCAGGGGGTGGGGTTATTTGAATAGGATAGTTCCCAGAACCTTTCTCTGTGCAGAATTAAACAGAGGAGGAGTCTGGCAAGCCAGGCTACACACCCACAGCTTTCTGTTGGTCATTTTTTAAGCCAAGTGGGTGGTTCTGATTGCTGCCATCTTTGCCGTGTTACATGTCTCATCACGCCCAGACAATCCAAAAATGGGAAAAGAGGTGGAGCTGAGAGTGGGGCTGTGTGATGGTGGGAGCAAATGATTTACACCCATAAATCTAACCAATGTAGCGATAGACCCTTTTACTACCTACGTCATCAATAGTTGCGCGCGCAGCCTGGCAACGAGAGTGAAGGCGTCCTCATTCACACTCGATACTAAAACAGCGTTTTAAACCCTTTGTTTTGAAGTTCTGAGCACATAAAAATGTTGGGTTGTTGCGTGTATGGATGCCAGAATCGCTTCTCTTCAAGCAGTGGACTGAAACTTTACAGAATTCCGAAGGGAGCACATCCATTTCAACAAAATCGGATGCGTCTGTGGCTGCAGGCCATCAAAAGGGTTGATGAAAACTGGACAGAAAACACGATCCGAAATGCTCGAGTTTGTAGCGCCCATTTTATATCAGGTAAGGTAATTATGTACTAAGATTACACCAGAAAGCTGGTTAACGTGTGTTCTATTAAATAAAGTAAGTTGCGTTTGCTGGTTTGCTTTTAAGCAGTCTATTTATTTACATTTATTTACACTGCATATTAGTATAAACTGTATTTCTCTAAAATTAACACGATTGTACTCTGAGCACGCTAAAAAAAGAAATCCATGCTATACTCACCCTGCCCTGCAGGTACAGTTGGCTGTGAAGACGTAGTTCTCTGGTTTGTTTACTATGACCCAAGCCTCGTACATAGCAGTCTTGTGTCCTTGTCTTTGGCTAGGAAGGACTTCTGCCTTCAAGACGCAAAACTCAGAGTCTATGTCGTGATATTTTACTTTCTGTACGTGACCACAGACAGCATAGTTGTATGCATCTAACGATTTGTATGCCCGTAGCTTCTCACATGTGTACTTACTGGGCCTCTCCACTAAAAAGTTATATATATCGGGCCACTGGATATCTGGCCACGCACCTACACCCATTCCGTTATGCCACAGGGATCCGGGAGTCTGTTGCCTTTCGTTAAAGTGAGTTTAATAATATAACATTCAAGATTTGCCGGTGATAACCCCGCAGCGTAGCTTGATAAAGCCTGAAACAACGCCATTCTCTGTTGCCAAGCTGCGCGCGCATTCTCGCTGACGTCATATTGTTTACAAACAGTAAAAGGGTCTGCCATAGAGCTAACCCAAAGTTACACTGGGCTTCGAGCCAACAGGGATAGCTACGAACTGCCTGAGCAAACCTAGAATTAACCCAAAACTAACTGAGGTTTTCTGGTGCTTTTATCCCAGAAAAGCACAGTTGACCGACTCAAATGGGATACATCAACACAAAGAGCTGCGGTGCTTCTGTTGTCTCCCTAAGAGAGCTCCACAGGCAGCCAGGAGGGCTGCAGCCTCACTCGGGAGACGGTCAAAGCTGGGCGGCCATGTGGCTCTGCTGCCCCGGGAGACAGAGCAGCCAGCCGAAGGCGTCTAGCAGCTGTTAACAGCTGGGAGACAGGAGAAGCTGGGCACCCACCTCACTCAGCCATCTCCGGAAGGCTGGAGTTGAAGATTTTCAGATCTCTGATCACAGGGCTGCTGCTACTGAAGGGAGAGACACGCTAAACTTGGTTATCCTCCTTTCTGCAGAGACAACCTTGCGGCTCTTTGATCGCGGTGGACTAGCGGAGCCCGGAAACCTTCGCTGGTCTCAAACAGCTTACCTAGCTCGAATTTTGGTACCCAGCCAGCCTCACCAACACGTCATATTTTGACCCATCTTTGACCATGCAGCTTTATGTTAAATGTACAGCGGTTTCCCCATTAAACCAGCAAAATAAAGTACAGATACGGTATATAATTTTACTTATCGATAAAAAAAATTAATCAGAGACTTGTTAGAAGATCTGTTAGTGTAGGGTGACCATATTTCCATTTCCAAAAAAGAGGACAGGAGATCTGTGCCTACCAATGGCGTCACACTAGGGCTGAGCGATATGGCCTAAAATCAATATCACGATATATTGAGGATTTAACCTCGATAACGTTTAGTTTTATGCCGTTTTGCCTTGGCCCCCAAAATGTATTGAAACGGCCCTGGGAGTGTGACTGAGTTTTGAAGATGATCTGATTCAGATCATCTGAATTGTATCAAATGTATAAATATTACATATTAGCTTATTGTTTTATAAAACATGTAGTGGAGATAAATCTACATAAATTTTACTTTCAAGCACTTCGCTTTGTTTTCTTGTTTTTATTTAACTATTTTCCTGTTGTCTGTCTGCCACTCATCTTCCTGCATCTCCTCTAAACTCTCTAGAAAAACTGTTTCTTGGCTTCTTATTTTTTCACCTCATCAGTTACTTTTGAGCAGATCAAAGAGATCTCCTGACCGCAAAGCGTAGTGCGCGTTTCAATGCTGCGTCGGTGAGGTGAAACATAAATATTGTAATATAGGTAGAAACTAGATCTTTCCCTGAGAGATATCTAAACCCCCACAATTCGATCCCTGCTCAGATGAAAAACCAGACATTTTGATCAATGTAGGACCCCCACCCCCCCACCCCCCCCCCCACCCCCCCACCCCCCATCTCTGTTTCTTTTTGCTCAAGCCGCACCTTCTCCAGCCTTCCATTTGGGCGAGTCAGACTGCTGGACTGCATCAAGCCTTGTTCTGCTCCACTGCTGGTTCCCTCCTTCACTCACCCTACCTATCTGTTGTTAACTTTTCACTTCCTCTCATAACCCACAGTGAACACACACTATATGCAGAAGAAAGTTTTTATTTATTTATTCATTTATTTTAACAATAGCACATTTTTGGTAGACCCTCATTCCCATTGCATAGACGCTTGAACAGTTAAAACTTCATCACCATCAACTCAGAGGACTGTGAATAAAAAAGCAAATAATTCCAAATTAAATAAATCAGGATTCTACTCCAAATTACAGGATACTTAGATAATATTGTTGGTTATTTTCGATCGTTATATGATTTCTCTAAGACTCATCAGCTTTATAAATGTCTGGCTTCATTGTCAATCAATTCCTTTTTTTTCATGTGTTTGTAGAATATGTGAATATTGAAATAATATTAATCATTTATTCACCTAATTCTGGCTTATAATAAAGGTCTTATAGTGAAAAATAAAAGATCAGAGTTAGCAGAATCTTAATAAAAATAAAGATGAAATCATTTTCTAGGTACCTGAACCATTACGGAGAAGGGCTCACTTGATGACTTCATATAAAAGTCAGCATCCGATCCATTAGCTAATTCAGCTGCTTCAGTCACTTAAGGGTTAACGCAATTGTGTTTGGGTTAAGTGTGGCGTGAAAAGAGGCAATAATAACTTTAGAGTTGACTAAGATTAAAAGTTTGGCTTGCAGCCATCGTAGCCTGTTAAAAAAGCTAATTAAACCTACATTAAAGCTCCGCCTGCGGAGAAAGAAAGGTTAAACACTTCAACAAATGCTCTCCAACTTAAACGGAAAGGAAACAGGAAACGTTTCAACAGACTGCACAATTTGACTGTGTGAATTATATCAAATACCATTTGTTTTTGATTATTCTGTTTTTGCGCACATTCGTGAGTCCCTGTAGTCGAGGTAAACACAAGGTGGTTCTTTTGTTTTGAGTCAAGAAAATGGATCTTTACCGAGGTCCTTTTTGATGTGCACGGTGTTAATTATGTAGTAAAACCAGTGCATTGCCATTTTTTTCCAGGTTTTCACACACACACACACACACACACACACACACACACACACACACACACACGCACGCACGCACGCGCGCGCACACGCGCACGCACACACACACGCACACACACACACACACACACACACACTGCACTCATGATGCTAAAGCAGCTTTCTCTTTGCGATGGCTGGAGTTCATAAGAAGTCAGCTCCAGCCCAGCTCCTGTTGCTGAGGGGAAAACCAGCTGCACACTCCTCCGAACCTCCTGCCAGTGTTGCTGCAAATGGAACATCCCATGTACCACTCTCCCCCCCTGCTTCATGACAACGTTTGGTACAGCCCACTGGAGCTCCTCTATCCGGTTTGTCACTGACTCAGTAGTATCACAGCAGTCGTCCAAACGGTTGCTTGATCACAGATACACACACACTCACACAATCAAAACAAAACACACACGCACAGCAAGAGACAGAGGACATAACACAGAGTCACAGGAGAAGAAGCAGAAGAGAAATCCTTTGGTTTGCTCCCCCACTCTCAGTTTCTTGGCTGTTGTGCATCCCTGATATGACCCTCTTCAGTCCAAGATGTGAGTATACATGAGAAAATATGTTTTTGTGTGTGTGCATGTGTGTGTTATTTGCATGCTGCACCCGGCTTCTTAAAGGCAGAGCTTTTTTCACTGTGCCTATTATTAGTTTCCCCTGACAATCTTCTCTATATGCTTCTGCCTTCTTCTCATCTTTCTCCTGTAACTCCTCATCCTTCTTTCATCTCTAGCATTCTCCTTTTTTATCCCCATTAAAAAGCACCCCCCTGAAACATAAAGCTCTAGTTGAAATCATTTTCACAGAGGTGCATTAAGATGTTTGAGACAAACTGAACTTGTTCTAATATTGCCAAGGTCAGCACCTGGTTGCCACACAAAGGTTTGGGAGACTGAAAAGCCTACAGGTTATATTTTTGTCTCTGTGATTAGATTAATCATGCATTTTATTTTCTTTGCTCTTTAGCTAGAAAATGAATGTCTCCTTTTAAAACCAGTTTCCAACGGGGGTATTTTATCAGTGGTGCAGACGTAGAGGATACATCTACCCACAACAAGCCACAGTCATCTCAGAAAGCTGCATGCTTATTTGTGAGGCTTTAGGCAACTTCAGTGCAGGACGACAGACTTTACTGTGAAACTGATGTTTGGCTGCCTGCGTGTTATTTTGTGAGGACATAATCCAACATGAGACACTGACGACTCAGGGACACATTAAAGCCAGTTTTTATTTGCTTTCTGCTCACTGACAGCGTGTGTTGCCAGCCCACTGCTTTTATTTTCATTTAGATAAATGTCACAGCAGCGCTATCATTGTACTGCACATCCACAACAGTCAAAATTAAGGAATCACAGTTGCTGCTTGGCACTAAGCAAGAGCTGAAGTTAGAGGAAATGTTCAGAGATGGAAAGAGGAGGTCGCAGCAAGATGCAAGCTAACAAATCATTCAGGAAATGAGATGAAATTTGTAGTCAGAAACATCTTCTCATCTTCAAATACTAAGGAAAAGCCTCTGCAAGATGAAACAGAATGTAAAAAAATGAAACAAACTGATGATTTGGTTCATTCTGATTTTTGCATGAAATACAGAACGCACGATGGAATGCTTTGTTTGAAAACTGTTTTTCTTTCAATCAGGCGTCAAGAGATCTAAAAATTGAACGCTTTCGTGTTGCAAACTCCAATAAGACTAAGAGATGTGCCTTAAAAGACTCAGCAGTAAATCTGTTTAATTTACATGATTAACAACAGAGACTCAGTCATGACTGCTTTGTTTATTAAGAGCTTTAGTGAGAAGAACTAAAGACATTAAAAATACATCGATTTTATCTGTCATCAGCTCAAACATATGAAGTGTGTGTGTGAAAATACATCAACAAGAAATGGAATTTAATACAAAAATAAAAAGAAATGGACTAAATATGTGATTTTATTCACTTTAAGAGTGAAACAAAGAACTTGCCAGAGGACAACAAGTCCTATTTTGATCCTTTTCCCTTTACATGAATGAGTTAAAGTGACAACGTGTAGATGTTATTGTTATTCCCTGGAAATATCCATCTGCTTCATAACATATAACCATAAAAAACTGGTCTAAAATACATGGGAGCGGGTCTAAGGGTGTTTCTCAATGCCAAGGAAGCTCACTTTTATGTCTTGGCCCTGCCCCGGCTGCCTAGGAGAAACGTCATCAGGAACTGCCAAGGCGTGTTCCAATGTTCATGTTCTACAGAGGTGTGTGTTCTCTGTTTGTTAGCTGTTTAGCTAGCTGAGCGAGGATACACGGGAGGTGTCTTGTATACTAGCCTTGGTTAAAAATTTATAAAATACACCACGGTATTTTCAAAAGGATGGCGAATCAGAAGCCGGCAGCTACTTCGCGGGTAAATTTCAAGTTTAAAAGTAAGTCAGCAAATTTTAAATGTTCATTTTAGATCCAAAGAAGTAATCTATGGTTGGTTAGTTGCTTTGTAGTTGCAGCTTCGGTGGCTAGCGGGTAGTAACTCGTTTATATATTTAATTTAACAAATATATACACAGTTTTAAAATTAAAAGGCTTGTTATACATTTATATTTTATACGTATAATTTTCAATATAACGTCATCTTCCGTGTCACGTGACATTATATGACCGCCGTGGAAGCCGCGGTCACATGATGCAAGTCTGTTCCATTGAACCGTTTTCTTTGACCAAGAAAGGACAGTCCTCATAAGCAAGGTGCCTGGCCTGGCCTCGCCTTGACATTGAGAAACACCCCAAGTCTCTGGGCGACACCATAGTAGATGCCATGTTTCCTTCTACATGAGCTCTTGAGGACAAAACATATACTACTGATTTGTAACAAATGGTTATAAAAGTTTCGCCATTAATTAATAAACGTTGTTTTACACGTTTACCTTTTCAATCATTGCCACTGATGAAAAGGAGCCTGATGTGCTTGTCATTTGTCGGTAAGGTCTAACTCCAACACAAAAGTACTGCTTGCTTGCAACAATTTAGGTATCTACTGCCCCCTATCACCAGGAAAAATACACACTATCACTTTGAAGTGTCAGAAAAATTGTTTTGTTTTTAAAAGCTGTAAAACGTGTTTTCAGCAGTGAAACAGTTTGCAGTTTTACATCTCACTCATTGTTTATGCATCATATAGGTCTGGTAGAGAATTCAAGGACATTTCACAAAGGGGTGTTATGTAGCTGAGAGACTGGCTGCAAAGCCCTCGAAGGTTTGAAAGCAAAATAATTCCTCGGCAGTGCCTTTGTGATTTTATTTCTAGGTAGCGGAATTCTATTTTTTTCTAATTCAGTCTGTGAATCAACAATCTCAGCCTGATGAAATAAGTTATGCACTTCAGCAGTAGTTGAGGCTCCATAAATCAGCAAAGCTATTTAATTATAAGTGACCTTTGTGTGTCTTTTTTCTTATTTCACAAACACAAATTAGACTAATATCTGGTTTACATGCAGGCTTCAGATATGTTCTAAACTGGCTGCTTTGTGGATCTAAAATGTGAATTTTGACTCAATGATTCAATTTTAAGTCACTAATTCTCAATATCCAATGAATGAAACAGAAATTATTCACTTTTCTTGCACTTTGTTACTCAATATTAGTAAATTCAATTGCTAGTGAGGAATTTTTTAAATTCCACCATGAAATAACAGCAAGGCCAGATTATAATATGGGCAAACTGGGCACAGGCCCAGGGGCCCACAGCCACAAGGGAGCCCAAGCGAGCAGCTGTCTCTTTTTTTGTGTGTGCAGTATAACATTGGAGAAACAAGTTGACAAGTAATTAAAATTGTGCCCACATTTTCTAATTTAACACACATTTCTTTTAACAACGGTAGTTTCTGCATCTTTACTGTTCCCCAGCTGCTTCAGCCCTCTCCCCCTGCGCAGCGGCCACAAACTCACTGATGCGCCTGCAGCCTCTCAGAGTTCCTGCTGATCTAAACATTGAAAGAATCATTTCATTTTCTGTTCTTCACTTCTGATTACCTTCAATGGTGTCTGTTTGTTGCAACCACCAGGTACAAAAAGGAGTTTGTTTTTTAGTTGACTATTTTTCTGTCCTGTCTCTGTTTATTATCTTCCTGCATCTCCTCTCAATCCTAAAGAAAAACTGCCACCTGGCTTCATATTTTTTCACCTTATGAGCTACCTTTGAACTACATTTAAAAATGATCTACTGACCGCAAAAATAGCGGGAGTGCGCACCGCACGCCGGCTGCACCGGTGAGGTGAAATCACCGGAGGACAAAACAGGTGATGCCCTCCACTCCACAGCAGCGAAATGCATCAGGCACAAATAAAAGACAGAAAGCATGAAAGGATATGAGCCGACATAAACGATCGCGTGTTAAATTTGTTTTTGAGGTGGTGACACTTTGAGAATGTTACTGCGGCCGTGCTCAGGATGCAGATGTCTGGAGCGCATCAACGATCAGAGCTCTGCGCTAGGGGCTGTATCAACTAGTCGACTAGTCGACTTCCCTGCTCTGTAGTGACTTTTTATGCCTTTCATAGACTAATCGCTGTCACGTGATAATGACCAACAAGATGCAGTCCTCGGAAAAGACAGCAGGTGACGAGCCCCTGCGCGTCGTGAGGGTATCTGACGCCCACCGTAAAACTGACATTTGACCGAAATGTGACCTTTACCCTTTTGCAATTTAACCTTCCCCTCACCCCCATCCTAACCTTAACCAGCTTGCTCATGCAAAGGTCTGATCTTTGACGTGCTCCAGACATCTGCGTCCTGAGCAGGGGCGGATTTAGGACTGAAGAAGATCCGGGGCTTAACACATGCGTGCGTGCGCAAGTGCGTGCGCACACACACACACACACGTGACACGCACTAGTCAACATCATATATATTTTTCTTGTACCACATAATTTTTAATCTGAAGCTACATATTAAGCATATTCAGGGCAGAGTATTGTTCCTGTTAGTTTTTAGTGTGAGATGATAGTAAATATTCCCTTTCTTTCTCCAACAACTTTACCTGATAGTAAGCTAACTTTAGGCAAACCAGCAGCACAACAAATATTTTCAAATAAGATTCACAAACCTGAGTCAACACCAGTCTCATCAAAGCTGAGGTTCTGCCGCGGTACGTTTGGTCTAAAAAACGCCCTTATGTCCATCTTTACATTTGCGTTTCAGGCAGAGACTGTAGAAGAAGCCGGCTGCTGAAGGGCTTCTTCAGTGGTGGAGGCTCAGGCAGGCTGTATACAAACTACTGCCAGCTGCTCCCTCTCTGTTGGACTTTGGTACTGCATGTTACTTCCACATTTTAGATCTGGGGCTTTTCATAAAACATTCGGGGCTTGAGCCCAAGTAGCCGGGCCTAACGCCGCCCCTGGTCCTGAGCACGGCCAAAATAACATTATCAAATTAGGTGTCGCCACCTCAAAAACAAATTTAACACGCGATCGTTCATGTCTGCTCATTTCCTTTTATGTTTTCTGTCTTTTAATTGTGCCTGATGCGTTTCACTGCTGTGGAGCGGAGTGCATCACCTGTTTTGTCCTCCGGTGACATACCTCACCGGTGTGGCTGGTGCAGCCGGCGCGCAGCATGCACTCCGCTGTTTTTGCGGTCGGTCGATCTTTTAGAACTGCAGTTCAAAGGTAACTCATAAGGTGAATATATATGAACCCAGGTAGCATTTTTTCTTTAGGATTGAGAGGAGATGCAGGAAGATAATAAACAGACAGGACAGAAAAATAGTCAAATAAAAACAAGTTCGTTTTTGTACCTGGTGGTTGCAACAAACATACACCATTGAAGTTATCAGAAGTGAGGAACAGAAAATGAAATAATTATTTTAATGTTTAGAGCTGAAACTCTGAGAGGCTGCAGGCGCATCAGTGAGTTTGCAGCCGCTGCGCAGGGGGAGGGGGGAGAGGGCTGAAGCAAGATGCAGAAACTACTTTGTTAGAACAGATGTGTTTAACTTAGAAAATGTGGGTGCAATTTTATTTGCCAAAAACTCCAGCGAACCCCCCCCCCCCCCCCCCCCCCCATGCAGATATTTCTTCTTTGCAAAATTTTAAATAACTGTATAATCTTTTAAATAATCCTGCAGTACTTTCTGTTGTACTTTGACAGTGGGATATCTTTTACATCAGGCTCTTGCCCCCACTGTCCCACAGATTGACAACATTTTTGTTAGTACAGACAGAAGAGAAGATAGGAGCACTGTGAGGAAGAGAGAGACAGAAAAAAGGAGAAAAGAGAGAGGACAGAGGAAGAAAGACTTATGAGTGAGGCACAACAGGAAAATCATCAGGTATGACTGTTTGTGATTAGGTTATTAAACTATTTTGACCTAGAGGTAAATGCTTTTGTGTCAACATAAGTAAGAGATTTTTAATATTGACAATGTTATGAAATGTCTAAAAAGTGCTACTGGGTGACAGTTATGTTGGGGGAGATGGGGTGGGGGGTGGGGCCCTAGGTACATTGTGCCCAGGGGCCCCTGCAATGATAATCCGGCCCTGAATAACAGAGAAAAAATGAATATTTGAAAAGTAGAATAATGTAAAAATGATTGCCAAGGACTTTCTTTTTTAATTATTATCTCTCATTCGCCTCGTCGACACGGCGGCTCAGCGACAAGGAATGTCACATTTTGTTAGAATGGCCTCAGTCTTCCGGCGGTGTTGTTTCCTAACAACCATAAACCAGTGTTAATCCTCTGATCCAACACAGTAACTGACAGCAGTGTGAGCTTTACAGATAATTATCAATCAGATGAAACAGATATCAGCTCTTCTCAGTGCGGTGCCTCGTGTCATCTCTGTAGCTGACAATTCACGAGTACAACAAAGAAGAGAAACTCCATTTAGTGTTATTTATTTATTTATTTATTTTTAATCTGCATCCAGAAGGGAAAGTGCTACTAACACAACTTCAGTGTGTGTGGGTGTGTAGCTTGTATGTGAAATCTGCTATGGCTAATTATGGCACGTAGGATTCTGTTTACGAAAAGGCACGCTGATTACCTCCTGAGGTTTTGTTCCCGTTGAGCGAGACAACTGTGCTCAGTAGCATCCTTGTCTCTAGTCCTGTATAATGGCTTCATCATGCAGTCAATCATGCTGCCTTCACTCGGCAAAGCAAATGCATCAGAAATAGAACTTTGCTTTTGATTTTCAAACCTGTGTGAAGAATTTTGTCTGTTTTATATTAAAATTGAAAGTCTAAACCGTTCATTCTTCTCTACAGGATAACAAGTCAGTAGATGAATGTGCTTGTTTGTTTTGCTGTTAATTTATGAAATTATAGTGTGGATTTTGATCAATGCAATCACAAACTGTGTCTCTAAAATGTCAGGACACTCTCCTTTCAAGTTTTTTTGCATTTGGTGATATTGTTATTTCTATCCTGCCTTCTTTGTTTTGCATGCTTTCATAGTTCACTGGGTCTGCATGAGTGCACAGTTCAGACAAATAGCAGTTAAGGTGTCTGCGGCGGGGGCAGGCTGCCCACCAGCAGAGACACTGCTGGCTGCAGAGATGCTATCCAACAGGGCACTGTAGGGCTACAAACTGTCAGGAAAATATCTCTGCTGTGGGAGGCAAAGGCGCATACACACATCTGAATTTCCTTTCACACATTCAGACCCATCCTTAATTAATTGTAGCTCCCAGCCATTTGACAGTCACGCTGTGTGAGTGTATGTGCAGCTGGCCCAGTCACACTCCATTCACCACCCATCTGTCCATGTCAGCCTGGACACACACACACACACACACACACACACACACACACACACACACTCTCTCTCTCTCTCTCTCTCTCTCTCCCTCCCTCCCTCCCTCCCTCCCTCCCTCCTACTTTCAGCTTTTTCTTGCTTTTATGATTAAATTGAAACCACACAACAGTTATCGAAGTGATGGTGTACACTGTAATCAAGGTGATTTTTAATAATTGGTAATGTGTACAGTTAAAAATGTGTAAATCTCTCATAGCTATTTGTTTTCTCGTCTCTTGTGTTGAGTGTTGTTGCTCTTTACTGTATCAGCACAAAGTTAATTGGTTGCTCTTTCATGCAGACATGACTATGAGTAGAGAGCTGAAGTCAACCCGCTCCAGGGCAGCCAGTAAGAGGGCCAGCAACACCACTTACGGGTGAGTATGAACCCCCATTACCACCCACATACTTAAGAGCACCCACAGACACTATCTGCCCTCCACACACATCCACAGGTAATCATGCTTGGTTCTTTGCTGCAGCCTTTTATTTGTAGCTCATCGGTTGTGTCTCAGCTTTCCAACAAATGAAACATTATTTGTTATTAGCATCATACCTGCTGTGTCTTCAAGCTGCTATTGATTTCATCCAGAGGTGCAGTCTGCATCAGTCAATGTTTTAATCTATGTGTTGATGTAGTGCACACTTGCGGTTGGAGCTGATTACTGTTTATTGCTGGCAGCTCTGAGGAGCTCTGCTGGCCGTGTGCTCAGATGGCAGCGGAGGGCGGTGGGAGAGATGACAGTGTGTGGGCTTGTTTGCATTAATTTATGCCTTTATTAGTCCTGTCTCCGTCCCACTCCTGGAGCATTTTTACCAGCTACTGCACTGTGGCTCTGAACTTCTTCATCAAATGTGAACAACAGCATCAAGATAGAGTGGATTGTAATTTATTATATCCTTATGTTAAGTGGAAACATATGCTTCTTCTTCTTCTTCTTCTTTATTGAACTTCCACCACAAGTGTGTGTGTGTGTGTGTGTGTGTGTGTGTGGGTGTGTGTGTGTGTGTGTGTGTGTGTGTGTGTGTGTGTGTGTGTGTGTGTGTGTGTGTGTGGGTGTGGGTGTGTGTGTGTGTGTTTTCATTTGTTTGGAATGTTATCTCATGTCTACATTTTGATGACACCCAGACATAAATCACTGGATTTATCTTTACAGCTGATTCAGTTTTGGAGCCAACTCATTTAAAGATGGCCGTCATAGCTATTTAACGTTAGCAAACACAAAAACAACTGAAACTCAGTCACTTTAACAGATATTGAACAAAAATTTGGCATGTAAGCAGCTGAGAGTCATCCCCATCACATAGTACAAGTATTAAACCTGGTACTAATTACCCGTATCCCTAAGTCACAATGTCATACTTTCTTTTAAGTCACAATCCAGTCCTTACAGCAAGTAACATGTATGCTAAAGCTACGCATACATCATTGGTAATGCATCTTTACCCAGCATACCCTTGTTCTCATTCAGCATATCCATAATCCATCTCTCTGCATGTTTTCCCTCCTCTTCCCTGTTTGACCTTAACCTCAGATTATTCACCCAATCCCCCATGTTGTTATTCAACAGTGTGCATCAGTGCAGTAATGAGGTTAGTCATACAATAACACACACACATGCATGCGCTCGTGCGCACACACACGCACACACACACACACACACACACACACACACAGAGTGACTAAGTGCTGCTGGAAAACACCTGAGGTTTCTTTACAGAGATGATGAAATGATAACAAAGCTGGTCTGAAAAAACCTGCAGCTTCACTGAGAGGCTTTGAGCTTGCAGCTAAGTCTTAACTCGCTTCACGGTGACAAATCTGACATGCTGAACAGATATAATCACTGCTGCAATTCATTCTGTGCTGAAGTTTTCTAATAATCAAACTGTGCCTGAAGCTTATTCTAGAGTACATCGTCTAGCCGAAATAAAAGTTCTCACCAAAAAAAAAGGTCACACTGTAATATTGAGTTGGACCGCCTTTAGCTTTGATTACAGCACACATTCGCTGTGGCATTGTTTAGATAAACTTCTGCAATGTCACAAGAGATATTTCCATCCGGTGTTGCATTAATTTGTTGCCAAGATCTTGCATTGATGATGGCAGAGTCTGACCGATGCCGATGGCTAGTCCATGATGTGTGAAAATGATGCCTCGTGCTCCCTGATCCACTCTTTCACTATTTGAGCCTGATGAATCCTGGCATTGTCATCTTGGAATATGCCCGTGTCATCAGGGAAGAAAACATCCATTGATGGAACAACCTGGTAATTCAGTAGGCACTAGGCATGATGGGTGCATCACTTCATCTGCTTCTCTTCTTTCCCTGATGTGCCATCACTCTGGAACAGGATTAATCTGGATTTATCAGACCACATGACCGTCTTCCATTTCTGCAGAGTCCAATTGTTCTGCTTCCTAGCAAATTGAAGCATTTTTTTCTGGTTTGCCTCACTGATTAGTGGTTTTCTTATGGCTTCACAGCTGTTTAGTCGCAATCCCTTGAGTTCCCTTTGCATTGTGCATGTGGAAATGCTCTATTAGACATAGCCCTGAGTTCTACTGTTGTTTATCTTCGATTTGATTTCACCAAAAGTTTAATCTGAAGTTAAAGTCCCATTAATCATCATCTCAGATGGGTGAAATTACATCTCTGCATGTGACCCATCCCCGTGGGGAGCGCTGAGCTGTAGCTGTGGCTGTGCTCGGGAACTGTTTGGTGGTTTAATCCCCCAATCCAACCCCTTAAAGCTGAGTGTCAAGCAGTTAGGCATTGGGTACCATTTTTAACAACTTTGGTATGACCCAATCAGATTTGAACCCCGATCTCCCAGGGCCAAGGCAGACACGCTATGACTAGGCCACTGAGAAGAAAAGTTATTGCTGATCACGATCGTTTAGGATTTTTTTCCGGCCACATTTTTTCCTCAAAGACGATGGGTACTCACTATCCTTCGAGTTTTTCATAATGCGTTGGACAGTTCTTAACCCAGTTTTAGTTGTTTCTGCAATCTCCTTAGATGTTTTTCATCTGCCATGCCAACGACCTGACCCTTCTCAAACAGACTAACATCTATTCCACGACCACCAGATGTGTCTTTCCACATGGTTGTTTAAGAAATGAGAAGCAACTTGTTGCACCAGTTGGGGCCCTTTTAGTTGTCACACTGGTGTGTGAAATGTGTACTCTGCATTTGACCCACCCCTTGGGGGAGTGGTGAGCTGCAGACACAGCCACACTCAGGAACTATTTCTTTCACACCATCTAAGATACCGCTGCTCTCTTTTTTTCTGTGGTGATCTCAAAATTAACCAGTTAGTGAGCTCTTTCATTGATGCCATGTTTGTTTTGGTTCTACCCACAAACCTGGCTCTCTTTCCAGAGTTTTCTAGTGTACCCACTAGTAGAACACCCCAGTACTCTGTGTAGTGCAGCGCAGCAGTGAACAAAGACGCAGCCTGCTGCCTGCGCCAACGCGAGGTTAAACATCAAGTATATCAAGACCCTTAGTGGTAGAATCATTTTGCTTTTATCCGATCAGAGGCAAGGTGTCAAAATATCTGGAAATAAGACTCCAAATCCCGCTTTGTTGTTCCACTCTCTGCTGAAACAAACTTCTCGATGCTGATGCAAGCAGTTCTGGGCATTTCTTATCCCAAGTATGGCTTGCAAGGCATTCATTCCTAGCAGAGATCACTGCAAATGTATTGGTTAAATTAGCTTCCCACACCTTAAAAGCAAAATCCCAATTTAGATACAGGATTTGTGAAATCCATGTAAGTCAATTTACAGTGTTTATTTCATGTAAAAAAAGGGAAATTGTAATGAAAAAGTATAAAACAGAGAGGAAATATCAAATTTAAAAAAAATAGACACATTGTAAGAAACATCTACAAAATATTTAACTTCAATAAATTTGAATCTAGAGATGTAAAGCTGATCTGAAAATAAATATGATTACGTTATCAGACTTCAGGGCCTACGAGACCCTAAGCTACGAAAATAAAACAAAAATATTAAAATGTGACAATTTACTGTACAAAGTCTTTTCCCAGACCCAGAAACCGCAAAGCAGCCATACAGTCGCAAATGGAAATGGTGTTGCAACAGCCACTGAAGGTCTCTCTGTCCTGACTCCAATCATCCTGCTCTGTGTGTCTGGCAGCAGACTGCTCTGTCTGCTTCCTGCTCCCTCCGTTCTCACAGAACGGGCCAACTAACACTCCTGCCTGTGGCCCGGATTAGTTCGCCAACAAACTTTCAAACTACTGCCTGAGACGCTGCAGCGGTGTAATCTGCTCATCTACCTCCATGCAGGTTAACTACATTTCTGAGCAGTTTTAAGTGATGGAAACTGTTTGTCCTGCTCAAAATTAAATTCTTAACCCCAGTTGCTGAAATAAATTAAATAGTTTTCATGCTGTGTCCAAATGCAGTTCACAACATTTCATGTTTCATGATACCATACCTTCTTTCCATCTCTTCCTCCCCTGACGCGTCTCCCTCCAGGCTATTAGCTTCTGCAGATTGACCCTGACAACTCAGGGTGTTGTTATCATTTATCGTGGTTTCCTGACTGTCACAGCTCCCCTTTAGCTCAGTGAGACACAGCTGTGAATTTGAGCGGAGAAGCCTTTCTCGACCCAGACACAGATGCGGCTGCTGCAGCAGCAGCTGCTGCGACCTCTATGTGCTCTGCTGCACAACTTCAAAAGCTCACTGTACTGTGTGGCCCAAACAGGGAGGCTCAGGTGCCAATGCAGGAGACCCAGAGATGTGTGTAATTAACATGTGATTTGAAGACAAAAGCCTCAAAGTCTTTTGTGCTGTTTGCCTCGTTAATCAATTGCTGTTAAAGATGAAAAATGTATGGCTAATTTTCATTCTAGAGCTTGATTTTTTGCTCACAGCCTCTCCCAGAATAAGCAGTCAGTGTGGAAAGTCATTTTGACTTCTGCTTTGTTGTTTTAGCCTCTAACGGAGGGGATGGAGGAGTCATAGAGGGAGGAGAGGGGTCTGGCCATTAAGCAGAGTGTAATGAGCATCTGGTCTCTGGTATTTTTGTCTGCTTTCTCTCCGGACTTCACTATTAATTATCTATCATCTGTTTTAACATTCAGAGAGGCCAGCCATAGAGTCTGATTTAGAATTGTAGCTATGCAGCAGGCCCATCTGTTCTGTAAATTAAATACTTTGAGTGTTTTTAGTGTTTGGTGGTTAGATAATTTAACTTACTTGAATAATGTTTTGGTTTTCTTCAGTGATAATGCATTTCCACAGAAAGTGACTAAAATTAAAAACCAACATTCTGAACTTCGTGAACAGTGTGACAGTGCTCGTAGTCAGGTTGTGAAGTGACCTTCAGAATTTAC